TCATCCTAACATATTCACGTATATATATATATATATGATTATTCATAAAAGATTATATAGGTAAAACATATCATCCTAACATATTCACGTATATATATATATATATGATTACACATGAGAGATTATATAAATGATTATACATAAGAGACTATATGGGTAAAACATATAAAACTTTAAACATAAAATAAAATACTACATATATGATAAGGTATACAATCCTTTAATCTTATTTTAGAAGTCATTCCAGAAGTTCCGGAACACATCCTGACTGCTTGTAACTACCCAATTGTATAACGTGCACACTTTCCAGTACGAACAATGTTCATGTGGGTATTGATGGTAGTTGCAATTAATCTGCTTACTGCACTCCAGACGTTGGTAGGGGGGAAACCCATACTCTTCCATGTCCTGGCATGGCAGGCCTAAGTGTCTTTGCAGCAGCTGTGCCTTCTCTCTACCCTTGGTGTAGATCTTGATATAATGCTGTCTTATCCCCTGGTGAATCCATAGGAAGTCCAGCATAGTGTGATCGCCATCAGTCCAACGGAGGCCATGAAGATATACAGTACACCATAGGACGTGCCTCTTGTCTGCATCGCTCAAACGATCTTCCGAGTATGGGGCCCTGAAACAGTAAACGTTGGTCCAACCTGATCAACAGTCCTTTACTGCTAGTTTTTTTATCAGATACAGCCCGTTGACCTGGAAACCTTCAAATTCCACTATGGTTGCTCTTTGTCCTTGTTTCCTATGATTATTATAAGCACAATGTTATTAATTGTCCTGGTGAAGGCTTATACAGTCACTTCACTCATTCTTTTTGTTCATCATAGTCACACACTCGTTCTTCTAATACATCTGGCTTCTCGTTCACACTTGTTATTCAAATCACTTCAATCACTCTATTCACAACACTTCAATTCACTAACACACTCTTAATACTTGACATCTGTTGATAGAAGTTCCTGTCCTTACATTCAGTTTTATTTCTGGATTCGTTGTACTGTCTAACTGTCTATTTCGCCTACTGATCATAAGTTTTGTTTGTCTCTTACTTCTGGTCACTGTCTGTTATTTCTGTCCTTTCTTGAACTCTTCTTATTTCTGGTTATTGTCTATTTTTTGTCTTTTTTTCGAATTTTCTATGCCTAATAATTTTGCCTATAATTTGGCTATTATCATCTTTTAGAAATCAACTAACCTCGCCAATTGGTTATATCTAGATAATTTTGTAATCAACTAAATAATCAAGCTATATCCTGATTAGATGGGGCCTACTCATTCAGTTCTACTATTTCAATAGCTTCTGAATATTCAGATATTTCATTATTGCCTGTTCTTGTTCTTTTCTTCTTTCTAGTTTTACATAGCCCATCTAATGCCATTAACTTTACTAAAGCCAATTTGTCTCTTTTGATATACAACATTATGCTTACCAGTATTACTACTAAGCATAAGGTTATCATCACTGAGTTATATAATCTCCAATTATCTAACTTCTGTTTTCCAGCTGTAGCACGTAATCGGTTTACATGCTGTTGAAAATCCTTAAGACTTAACCCTGACTTTCTAAGAGGTAAATTTTTAGTGTCCTCTAGTAAATCTTTTAATCCTTTAATATCTGTCTCTATATCTATACTCTGAATTAACTGTAATTCCTTTTTCGTTAGTAATTCTTGTAATTTTGAAATCCTTATAGTTAGTCTAGTCCCTATATATTTAGTTTCACTTCTAAAGTTCGATGGTAAGGTTATGATAATCAAACTTATGTACGTTTGACTTTGGACATACAACTGATAAAGTAAGTTCATCTTTAACGTTAAATAACCAAATTCCTGGAGTTCTAGTTTTATAAAAATAGAATGGTTTAGGAATGATTATTCTCTTTTCACATAGTTCAGATATTCTATTCTTAATTCCTGTGAATGTCACATAATTATAAGTTACTATAGGTATGGAATACATACCCGAGTTAGGATCACAAACTCTGATAGGTCCGTCTATGCAATTTAATATATTGTTACGACAGCGAAGGTCACGTGACGCTTGTATCACGCCACTTCTTTCTCGAACCTTCATGAAATGTCGGGAGACCACTAAATTGGGGTAGTCTTGTATATATAAGACCGACCAAGAAACAACTGGGGTAATGAGTAATTGAACTGCGGACAGAGGGAATATTGTTGGGCACGTGAGACGTTCGTCGTGAATTATAGCAGTTGTTATAGCGCGACTGTTGAAATTAAGTGTATCACAGAGTTGTATTTTGAAAGAACAAACCAGTTTTATTTAAGAAAGGACTTGTATTGGTAAAGTTTCTTTGGTAAGAATTTTTACGAAAAATTAACGAACCGTAACAATATCTTCTTCTGTCATTTCAACATATGTATGTTGATCACTCGAGACAGCAATGTATGGTTTATCGTTCTCTATAGTTAAAGCTAGTGAATGATTTATTGCTATTGGTAAAGATATAATCTTATATAATTTAAACATTCTATCAGTTGCTTTTAGTGGTATTTCTATAAATATTCTTACAGTATCCTTAACCGTGGCTGTTTTTACGTCAGCCCATGTATACTACATATAAATTTGGACACTATGAGTAGGTATTACAAACTGTAAATGTGCAGGTAATCTCCTTTCGATTTCGTCTAACACTCTTTCTAATTTACTTGGTGGTAAAAAGTAAGAACTTAGCTTTTTATCTGCAGCTACATACAACGCTTGTATTAACTTGGCTAACTCTGTCCTGCTACTTCCTACAGTAAAAGATAACTGTTGTAGATTATTCTGAATTCTAGTGTTAAAAATTAACATTTCCATTCCTGCTTTATGTAACTCAGTTTGTCTTTTTCTTGTGTGTATTAATGCGTTAGTAATATTTATCAAAGCTTTAGATACTTTTCTGATTTCTTGGTCATGTAATTCAAGCGTTTGATTTATCGAATTCATTATAGTTGCTTGTTCT